GGTTGAGCGCGGTGCGGGCGCGACACTGAGGGTTGCGATCCCGTTGCTGGTCACGAAAAAAGACAAAAAAAAAGGAAAAAAAAAAAAAAGAAAAATCAAGATGATTGTTATATGTGGCTATTATTATTATACCAAGCATTTTACTGTGTACCAGACACTGAGCTGGAAACTTTACAAGAGTGGTCTTACTCCCTACAATAATCCTATGAGGTAGGAACTACTATTGTTGGGAAAATGCCAAAATAATTTTCTCATAAGCCTGTTTTGTCCCTGAAGTAATATTTTGATCACTACTTGCATGTTTGGCTTCTGTAACTGACCTTGCTTATCTGCCTAGACCACATGAATTCTGAGAAATGAAACTTATTGCTATGCTAGCCTTGTAAATGTGTCACCTATAAAAGCTTTGTAAGATCTGAGCTTGGGTCCAGATTTTCAAGTATAAGTTTGTCCAGGCCGCTGGTGTAATAAATACCTGACTCTCCAACCCTCTGAGTGTCAGATGCTTCCTTGCCGAGTCTGTTACCACAACACTAAAACTAATATTATATATGATACCAGGTATTCTGAAACCACTGGAGATTTGATACAACTGTTAATGGGTCACACACAATAGATTTTTTAAATTAATAATGTTTATTAATTTAAGATAGAATGCTTGAGAGGCACTTAGTAAACATTTGTCGAACTGGAGATGTTTTTACATGATTCTTAAACTGAAACTGTGTAAGAATAGAACTGGGATGGCCTTTCCATATTGTAAATGGAAGAGTTACTCAATGGTATGATGTGTGCATAGGGACTGAGGGTAGGGTTGGGGGGTTTAGACCTTGTAGAACAGTTTTTTGGAGAGGAAAGCAGAGAGATTTTGATTGGTAGTAGTATGGAAAGGTAAATAACTAGGTTCAGTTAAACTGATTGACTAGTTTTACTCCAAAGGATGATCTATTTGTGTTTTGCCAAATAAACTACTGTATTGCCTAAAAACTCAATAGATATTGATAAAAGCATGTTTATTTTAGGTTAGCAGGCACATACTGTCAAATAGTTGTCAAGATATAGAGGGCAAATAGATATAAACATCACTAGGAGTTTTAGGTGATTATAAAGATTTAGACAACCAAGACAGCTTCAGAAAATGACAGGACTGACTGGGCAAATTAACAAATGGTTGCAAACATGAGTATTTGAGACCTATTGATGTACCTCTAAATAAGAGTTTATTAATTGTAATCAATCCTTTAAGACAGTAGAATTGATGTTTTTCTGAGTGTTGTGGTTTATGGTCACCTGTTTGTTTACACACTGACAATATACTTCTGTGTGCAACATTTGTAAACAGTACATTGAAATTGAGTTGGTAATCAGTTACTCCAGTTTGCTTCAGCGGCCTTCTTTCCTGTTTTATATGTTTTTTCTGGACCATTTCATCTTCTGAGGGGCCTTCTCTGCATGTTGATAACTCCCACATCTACATTTCTATTTCTGACCTCTTACTTGAGCTCTGGTCCTTTACCTCCAGTAAATACCTCATTGGTACCTCAAACTCTGCTTATCTAAAGAGGAATTATCTTCCCCTTAAACGTGTTTCTCCTTTGTTTTCTTTCCTTTTTCTTTAAATTAATTTTATTTATTGTTGGCTATACAGATTTTTAAAATTTTCATTCTTTATTAAATTTTTAATTTAAATTTAAAAAAATTTTAAAAATTTATCAATATACAATGTAGTTGATGTTTGTGTCCCTTTACCACACCCCCTTCTCCCTCCCCCCAATAAACATCGTCCCTGTCACTTAACAAGTTCAAGGAATTATTGTGATTGTTGTGTCCCTCCAATTTGTTTGTATATTTATTTATTTTTATTAGCTCCCATGTATAAATGAGAATATGTGGTTATTTCTCTTTCTGTGCCTGGTTTATTTCCCTTAATATAATGTCTCTTTTGTTTTAAATTCCCATCAGTTATTTGTGTACTCAATCCAGTCCTTGCTCACCCACTTGTACACCTGTTATCAAGGCGTATCTTCAACCTGGAAGATACTTTTTAAAGAGAATTCCTTTAATTCCCACTACCACTCAGCTGAGTCCTTCATTCTTCGGCAGGCAGCAAGTATTCAAAAATTAGTCATTTCAAGAAGTCAATTAAACTGATTAAGCTCTTAACAAGTGGTGGTATCCAGGCTGGGACTCAAGTGTCCTAGCCCCTACTCAGGATCACTTAAAAGGTCTTTACATACTAATATACAGCAGAGAGAGAGAAAAAAAATTCTATCCGTAACTCTCTCAATTCATACTC